TATATATATATGTACGATTTCTCATGGGTCTTGCAAATTGATCGTAAAAAGAATCAGGTAGGTCGATTAACTTGGGCAAATCGGCGTCGCAATGGTGTCTTGATTTTCTTTTTTCGTAGTTGCAAAGAAGGACGACGTTGAACGTTTAAAAAGATCGAAAGAGTCGATTGGAAGAAGAACGTGCACGCGTACACCTTCACGCATACATATGTCCTGTTACGACGCCGAGGGTCTTGATCTTCGATCTTCTTCGAAGAAGATACGCGATTGCTCTTAAGAATGAAAGAAGAAGAAAGAAAATAAGGAAGGAAGGAAGGAAGGAAGAAAAGAATCGTGGCGTTCGAGTTGGATGGAAATCGAACGTTTGTTGCTTTTTACGTTCACGCAAAATAAGAGTATGCCGATAAAAGTCTACACACGAGCTCGTAAAATCCACGTTCGTACGGTAAACCCACGCACGAGCCACCTAAAGGTGCACATTGACTATACAGAAAGAATTTCTGTGTATGTGTGTGTGTATGTGTCATGAAAGGTAGCTTCGAGATTTCCAGGACCGATACCACTCGACTTCCTCGAAGGCCTATCGTTGATCTTTGGTGCTCAACGATTCGCGCTTCTCGACGAGGACAATATTCATTTTTCTGATCCAGTTAAGTTACGACATTTCATAAAATCCTATCATGTTAACTTCCCTAATAGATAATTCAACTTATATCATTTTTTTCCTAATTAAAACACAATTACTTGTTTTATTTATATGTTATTTCTAATAGTTGTTGAATGGAGCGGTCGTGCTCAGGGACGGGAACAATGGTGAAATTTGGTATTTGCGGCAATGAACTTTCGGGTTTCTAATGCCAATTAATAATAATAATAATAATAGTTGTTGCATTTGGATCATCTACATTATTGTAAAATGTTTGTAATACTTTCAAATTTACGAATTTATTAATCCTTATGAAAAATTAGGTAAATATGATGTGACTCACCTGAAAGCTTCTTTCGGACGACGATGGTGGGGTGAGAGGTGAATGATGAATTTGTCTATTGATAATCGAAGTAGCCAAAGGATTCCTAGAAGATGGTGCTTTAGTTTCTCTAGCCTCTCTTTCGCAAACCGAACCAGGTGACCAAATTTCATTCTTCCTGGTGATATTAGAAGATACATCGTTTGGTTTGGTACTAAGATTTAATGGTACTTCTTCTTCTGAAACATAATATCACCGTTGATTTTAAATTATACGCAAAAATTTAAACGAAACAAAAATATATATTTAACTGTGCTATTTAGGAAAAAATAAAATAACTAGTACTCGTGATTAAAAATAAAAAATTACTGCGTGGTGATTAGTTTTTCCTCAAATGATAGTGCAATCTTTTAGGAAAAAGAATATAGTCTGAACGAGTCACTAAAAAACAAGAAAATTTGCTCTGCTTTGCGTCACATTTCCTCTTCCTTCTCCACCACCACCACCACCTCCTCCTATTCCTCTTTGCCTCATATTAACACGAATATTCGAATAAATGAGTAAGGAAAAAAATAATGAGAGAGTACTAGGCCGTTTATTCTTATCGAGTTCGCTACTTAACTATTTGCTATCTTTTATGGACACATCGTAAACGCGTTATAATGTGTCGGATATGTATTTTAAAAAACATTTCTTTTTCCTATAGTCGTTCTGAATGGCCAAAATTTTTATAACCCGATATGAATGAAAATAACAACAACAAAAATAAATATATGCTTAGTCATTCATGTCCCATAAATTAAATAAAAAACATACTTGGACAAAATTAGTATCTCATGTACGTTCAATAATATATATTTAATTATTTATATATCTTATGTAATTAATAATTATTTATAATTACTGGGGTTGATCGTATATTGTAAGGAACTTTGATAACTTAATTTGCAAATGAATTGAATTAATGACATTTTCTTAAAAATACTCTCACAATTCGATTATTAATTTATTTATATTAATAAATAGAAAACCGAAGAAAAACAAACAATATTTTTTTAATAATAAAAAATTGTCGGTATAAGCGTGAAATGACGAGTAAAAAGAAAAAATGTGTAATATCGCATAGCTAGTTTTCAAAGAACATTATCGAAAAATAATAATTGGCGACTGGAAAAAACCTCGTCGATGTTGTGTTAAAAACATATATACACATATATACATACATACACACATTAAAATAAAAAATAATGCTTTTAAAACGGTAACAGCTGCACGATTAACTTTTGTTTTAGCCTCCATTGCCGATCGTCTACGACCAATTCGTAAGCTATTTACGAGCTTACGTTACGTACGGAATTGTCCTACTATAATATATATTGTCTTCTTATCCGATTCCTCGTAATCACGCGAATGATAGTCGAACGAAACGAAGTGTTGTCGTCGTCGTTGTGTCATACTTATTAATTATTTCTACTATTTTAAACAATCCTAACAGAATTTTTCAACATCAACAACAACAAAATGCGCAACATAATTTTCATAAAATATAATATACGAATATTATAATTAATATTTAATATTTAATATTAATATTAATATTAATATTAATATTAATATTAATAATATTAAAAATTTAATAACAATAATAATATTAATATTTAATATTAATTAAATATCATAATCTTCACTGTAGTCTAAATAATTAAAAAGTAAACACACGATTGCACTTTGCTATATATTTTAACTTAAAAATATTTTTTTTAAATAAATTATAATCAATAGCAAAATCTTAAAACAAGTATGACAATATAAAAATATATGAAAATTTGTTGGTGTAATAAATAAAATTATTGTAAAATAATTAGATAATAATTATTCATAATAAAAATGTCTTACCAATTGGTACTTTTTCAACAGCACATCTCGGTGATCCCGGTTTGACTGGACTAAGAGGTTCCGGATGAATGGGCGAACAATTGGCAACCGGTGTTGTCTGTTGAGGTGGAATTCTTAACGGCGGCAGAAGGGAATGCGGCAACAGAAGGCCTACGTTTCGGGCCCACCAAGTGGTCCCGGACGTCGCGTAACCACCGCTATACATCAGGCCGCAACGCATCTCTAAAATAAGAATGCACCTTTTCTTTTTTTATGTTAGCTCGAACGAATATATCCTATCGAGAAAAACACAAATTCATTCTTAAACTAATGCATTTTGATGTAGTAGCGAAAAATTAGATCATTTAATTAAATATCAATTATTATTTAAATATTATTGTCTAATATTTATATTCGTAAAAAAAAAAAAATCTATCAAACTTTACGATATCCCTAAATACACTTTTATTAATTTATAATATTTAATTTGATTGTCTTGTTTTTTGAAATGATATACCGATAAATAAATTTTATAATTATTTATATTTTTTATATTTTATAATTTTTAATTATTTATACATTTGAAAAAAAGATTTCTCGAGTGAAAAGAAATTGATTGTCTTACCTCGCGCAGGTAAATTCGCGGTATGGGGTAAATTTTGTAGTCTCAAGTCCGAACCATAACCAGATACGAGTGTGAAAGCACTGAAACGATCCTGAACAGGTACGCAGAAGTTCGAGGGAGGATTAGAAGATGCAACACTGCTAGCACTGCTACCCGGAGCCCCAGGACTCCAAGGAGAAGGTGGTAATGTCACATTCGGACTACTTGGAGGAGATAGGGTTGCCGGGGGTGATAATGCTCCCACCGGAACTCCTACAGGATCGCTGTGAAGTTCCGGTTTCATGTGCCAAGTTCGCGGTACCGCTTCTGAAATATTCGCATCTATCAATACAAATTTTCTTCTTTTAAAATATAATTCATTCTTATTTAATTAATAAATCATTTGAAAATAATTGAATGTAATCAAGTTAAAGAAAAATTAAACAAATAGAAATAACAAATGTTACGATTTTAAATTGAAATACGATTTTAAAATAATTGCGAAACTATTTATCCGACTATGACAATGGGTATTGAGGTAGTCAACCCAGAAAACTGGTAAAAGTAAATGTGTGACGTCACTCCTTGATAAATTGACGGAAGACAATCAAACTGGGCTATCTTCCTCGAAGAAGCATCGAAACGTTGCTCGATATCCGAGCCGGTTAATGATAGTCGAACGTTCGGTAAAACCGGTATTCGATACGCTCACGATGACACGAAGGAGTTGCACCAAAGTAAAAATAAGTAAAGCTGGTGCATATATATCTATAGATATAAGTTACACGCGAGTACACGATCGTTAATTCAACGTAACCCGAAAAATTCAAGATCAGTAATATCTGGACCGAGAGTAATTATCGATAATTCGAATATCTTCTTCTCAAGAGAGAGAGAGAGAGAGAGAAAGATGAAAAAGTGTTAGCGAAAGGATAACAGGCCAAGAGAAAGTGTAGATCGGAAAGTAAATGAACAAGGTGGGGTGATAAGGGGTACAGGGATGAGATTAAGAATTGACCAGTTTTCAAGTAACTTGATTCAAGTTCTTATTTTTCATTATCTTATTTCGATAAGATATCGTAACGTTTATACGAACTTGATGTGTTTGGATTTGGCACGAGCGAGCTTTCTCATTAAAATATTGCCGAACCTGGCCGACCTAAAAGGAAGTGAATAAGAGTACAAGTATATATTTCTATATATATATATATATATATATATATATATATAAGTCACTATTTACGAGGTCCGATGTTATAAATTCAATCCCAATTTAAAGGTTCAAGGTGTATGATCGAAAACAAGTCTTTCGAGCTTTCCCTTAGGCACGACGTTAATTCATTTACCATGCATACTAATTCGTTTTTCTTTGTAAGATACTCGTTAAGAGGAAATATGTATATATTTTTTTTTATACTTGATACTGTAATATCGATTTTTTTAAGGATAATTATACGATTTAATTGTTATGATAACGATTATGATAACGATTTAAGCAAACATTTTTAAATGATAAGATAAACGATATTTTTATATATGCAAGTAATTAAATAAAAATATGTAATCATTTGATTTGTGATTTAAGTAAATGATTAAAATATTTCCCAATGAAATTGTTGCAATTTAGGACAAATTTGAGGTGTAATTTTGGGTTGAGAGTTGTCGTGTAAAGGTGTAATCTTACTGAACAATAAACCACATTTTTTTTACGTGTTACACTCGTAAAACCTCACATGAAACAAATATAACACTAACCATAAGAACTTAACAATTTGAAAGTAATTTTTCGCAAATAAATAATTAAATATATTTCTTAAAACAAATAAGAGAAATTTAGAACGAAAATACAAACCAGACACTAAAGACAAATTGATTTTCAATTAGCCAACAATTTTTAACGAAAAATTTAGAATATGAATACTTATCGTGGTATAAATTTTTCATTGTAAAAAGAAAAAATGTATTTAGGATAAATCGGATGACAACGATTAAACGAAAAAAATGAGTATTATCTATAGTATTTAAATATAGCTCGATGCGTCAACGATTGTTCATCGTGGTGTATCTACACACCCCCACATTGGAGGTTGTGGTGGTATAGTCGTTCAAAAACAAGCCAACACTTAAGTACTTACATATATACTATATCGGCCAAACAGCGAAATGAATTATATATGTCGCATGGTGTGTGCGTGCACATCCTGTATCGTCCTAGCTGACTCGTCGGGAGACGAGATTCTAATCTTATGTTAGGTCGACCAGGCGTGATTGCTCACGACGCGAGTGAGAGTATAATAAAACCTGCTGAAAATATACGTGTTCCTAAACATGTGTATGTGTGTTATACATAATAAACACACATATACGTATTTAATCACATGTAAACGTGCATAAGAAAGTATGCTCTATGTGCGTGCAGAAAATTTCGAGTGTCTCCTGGGAGGGGGTGGCTGAGGGATGACCAGGGGGTGTTGTAAAAAAGGGAAAAGATAAAGTGGAAAAGTTGATCTGAAATTTGCACTATTTTTCCTATCACTAGGACTACGCTTGAAAGTGTCATTTTTATAAATAAAAAATTAGACGAATCGTTGGTAATAAACGATTTTTATGATTAACGGTTGTTGGTTGGCAACCCGTGTAAAACCGTCTCGCGTGCAAGAAGACAGGATCTATGAGGTTTCATGTGATTCCAGAATATATTTAAAATACTGACGTTCCAGATGATACCCATCGACCATACGTGTGTGTGTGTGTGTGTGTGTGTGTGTGTGTGTGT